ACCGTCACGCCCCACCCCCACCCCCCCCCTCCCCCACTCCCCGTGAGGAAGTGTTCCTGTGCTCAAACTGGGGATCTGAATCCTGGATTCAGCTGGAGCTGTACTGTCGGAGATCCTCCCTCTCAATACAGGGCTCGTCTACCAAGCCACTTCTTTTCCAATTAGCTCTGTGTCCCACCTCCATCACTCATCGTTTCAATTATTTTTTGTGTTCCTTTATCAAGTCGATAGCCTTACAAACAGTGGACAGTCTACCTTGATTTTCTTTTTTAAAAAAAAAAAGAAAAGCTACGATAGAAGCGTGGCGCCCCGACATCTGCTCTCCGAATCTCTGGGCTGAATTCCTGCGTGCAGTGCTCTTGCACTTCTCTGCCCCGGGACGTTCTCTCGTGTGAAAAGCCCCCGATGGCTTAGGAGAAGAACCTGCAGCAGCAGCAGTCCTGTTTTGGCCCTGATATACGTGTGCGGATCCCCTGGCGGGTGCAATGCAGTGGGATGAGCTTTTAGAACCGGCAGATGTTGTGCTCCCCCAGTCCTCCCCCCAGACAATGCTGTGTCTAATGGCTCTGGCCTGTAGTGGCAACCGTACTGACTGAGTGCCATTCTTCCCGACAGGGAGACATCCATGAGGATTTCTGCACTGTGTGCAGGCGCAGTGGACAGTTACTCATGTGTGACACGTGTTCACGCGTCTATCACCTGGACTGCTTGGACCCACCCCTGAAAGCCATTCCCAAAGGCATGTGGATCTGTCCAAAATGTCAAGACCAGGTAAATACAGCTCTGACCGGTCCCACGGCCCAGAAGCCCCCCACTCCCCCCCCGTCCCCCCGTCCCCTGTCCCCTGCGGGTCTGCCCGCCAAGGATCGCCCAGCCCCTCTTGCGCTGTCTCCCGAGCTCGGCCAACGCCAAGCACGTGCTGCAGCGGCTAACGAGACGGACGGCGTCCGCCTTGGCGAGCCCTGGTTTCGCAGACTCTGAGTCGTGCATGAAACAGGCGTCCGGCTTCTCGCCCTTTGCTCCTCGGGAGAAGCGCGCGGCGGCGGCGGCGGCGGCGGCGTCAGAGCGGACGCGCTGCTCCGAACTCGTGCCCGAGAGTGAGACTGTTCCATGCTTTGTAAGATCCCATGTGCTCAAATGACCACGTGTTTGTGTCCGGGCAGCAGTGCCGTTTGTGTTAAAAGTTGGAACGAAAAGCATTTCATTTTTATGTCCATTTTTCTTTTTTGTCCGTCCACCTTCACCTCCCCCCCCGTAAAACCAGGCAGTGAGAGTCGAGGGATGTCCGATTCTTGAATTCCAGGCCTCGTTTCCCCCTGACGGAATTGTTTGGAATATGTTTTTTTTTAACGTTTTTGTTTTTTTTTTTTTCCCGTTTCAGATTTTGAAGAAAGAAGAAGCGATTCCCTGGCCGGGTACATTGGCTATCGTTCATTCCTACATCGCGTATAAAGCAGGTACAGAGGAGGGGCAGGGCTCTAGCCTTGTAACCCTTGTAAAGGGTTGTGGGTTCGAATCCCAGGTGGGACACTGCTCTTTCACCCTTGAGTAAGGTGCCTCTCCAGAATTGCTCTGGTAAAATCCCCTCATGTATAAATGAATGCAAAAGTGGCTTTGGATAAAAGCATATGCAAAATAAATTTAATAGTAAAAGTTAGACAATCAGACAGCTCAAGCAGTGTATAATATAAGAGAACCCTATGTACAGATTTATTCAAAAGAACTAAACCTTGAAAATGCCTTAAATTTCTTTAAGTGGGCCAAGTCAAATTTCTTGAAGTCAAGACCAAGCAGTATTGCAGCTCAACTCCATTGGTTGAAGCAGCACTTAACTTATTACTCTGAGAGTACTGTGGAAGACTTGGAGAAAGGAATCTCTGGAGCTCTAAAACTCCAACCTTATCCTCTTAGGCAGCAGGTTAATCCGGTGCCCTTTTAAGATTTGTAGCCTTCTCTCCGGTGTCCCAGGAGCTGGCGAGATTGTTGAAAGTGTCCCATGCGGGCGATTTCTTTTTCCCTTCCGAAAAGTGACGCGTTTCCTTCCCCTGTCCTCGCAGCGAAAGAGGAGGAGAAGCAGAAGCTGGTGAAGTGGAGCACCGAGCTGAAGCAGGAGAGAGACCTGCTGGAGCAGAAGGTCAAGCAGCTGAGCAATTCCATCACGGTGAGTGTCCGCAGGCCTCTTCAGGAGAGGCAGAGGAGAGAGAGAGAGCGCTGGGGGCTATGAGAACCTTTCTCTGTCCCGGAGACACTCCCGGGGGGGTTTTATCAGTCCCAGGCCTGGTGAAATAGTGCATTTCCTGCTTCAGTCTGTCTAGAAATTAATGAGTGAATAGTAATTCTGTAGGCACTGGGTTGCACAGCAGAGACTACAGAGCAAAGGAAGGTTCGCTTTGGCCGATTGAAACTTTTGCTGCAGTCGCACGTCCTTACCAGACTCTTTATTTGTCTCCGCCCCAAGAAATGCATGGAGACCAAGAACACGATGCTGGCCCGGCAGAAGGAGATGCAGGCCTCCCTGGAGAAGGTCAAGCGCCTGTTCCGCCTGGTCCAGGGCACGCAGGGCCCCACCAAACCCGCGGAGGGCGCCCAGGACGCGGAGGGGGTGGCCAACGGGACGGACGGCGGCGGCGGGGGCAGCAGGGAGGAGGACGACACGCGCAGCAACGGCAAAACCTCAGAGCCTTCCCAGCAGCCCGCTGTAACCCTCAGCAGCTCGGACACGAAATAACCCCCCCCCCGCTGCCGCCACCGTCGCCGCCGCCAAGAGCAGAGGTCCTTGTGGGACGGGGAACGCCCGACGCTCGGAAGAGAACCCGCTCGCACCCGGAAGGTGCCTAAGTTGCCAATCAATATATATACATATATATATATTTTTGTTGTCGTTGTGTATTGTTGGACTGTGTCAACAGTAGAATTGCATCCAGAGTGCCAGCTTTGGGAATCGAGAAAGGGAGGGGGAAGAAAAAAAGGGTGGCTTTTGTACCAGCGTCATGCCAATTGTTCATTAATTAATTAATGAGAATAATAATTTACAAACATCACACCAGTGTGTGCCTGCAACAATCGCCATGAGCCGCGTTCGGAGATTATTCCCGGGGGCGTCCTCGTTCCTTCGTTCCTCGGGGAGGAGTGTCCAGGTCGGAAAAGGCGTCGACGTGCCCAAGGACTGTTTAAATCGCCGTGGAGTTCAGCTCGCGTCCCCAGCGCGGCTGTTGAGTTCCGGCGCGAAACCAAAAGATCAGCAGACGGGGGGCGAAACGCCGGACAGTATTTCTCGACGAGGGCTGGGGGAGGGGAGGGGGGCTCTCACGGAGGTATTGCTGTCTTGTAGCTCACAGAACTGCGGCGCCGAGCGAGATGACCAGCGATCTCTCTCTCTCTCCCCCCCAACACCACCACCACCACCACTCTTCTCACACAGAACAGCAGGAGGGCCCCTCTGAGACAGCTTCACTCCTACACGGGATGAACGTCCACAGCCGCCAGTACTGCTGGGGGGACCTGATACACACAAGACAAACACTGACAGCAGCAGCACGTAATGCTGATCCTGCAGGATTTAAAAAAAAAAAAAGAACTGGAATCCGTTACAAAACTGACAGAGCATCACCAGACCATGCATGGTAATGTTTATAGGAAATAGTGTCAGTCCAATATAGTGAGTATTTGTGAGTCAAGTGTGTCGACGTTCCTGACACTAATAGCGAAACTGCAAGGACGCCATCTCAAAAAAATTATTTATTTCTGGGGAGTATTTTTTTTAATAGGAAAAAATATTCAGGTCTTCCTAGTGTTATTTAAAAAAAAAAGATCAAGAAAATCTTTAAAAAACAAAAAAAGAAGAAAAAAAAGAAAAAAAGTGCTTTTTCTGTTTCCTAAAGTCATTTCTAATAAAAGGTGTTAGAACTGGAATAGTTTCTGTAAATAGTTTTCTTTTTTTTAAGAAATGTTCTTTGTACATAAAATATACTTACTGTCTGTTAAATTCTGAACTGCCAAATGCTATTATATCCAAATCCAGCAGGGAAGTGTCTTCTTATATCATTTAAAAACAATTAAAAAATTCAAGAGGCTTGGTTTTCCATTAAGTGAAAAGTTAAATTAGGAGTCCCTGAGAGAGAGAAAATGCAGACGGTTTTATCTGAGTGTATTAAATGGAAAAGAAACCAATTTATCAGAAAAATCCATTTGTTCTTTTAGCAATTGTCACTGCAATGTAAATATGAATGAGCCAGGCTGTTTTTACTAAGGTTTACAGTTTATGGATCTTGGCAATTAATTTGGGGAGTTGGGCTTGAATCGTTCCCTGAAACAAAAGCACAAGCTTGTCTTAACAATAAACCATCTAATAACATAGGCAAGCTCTTTATTCTCCTTACATGTGTAGCGTATGTGACCCCAGACTCAAACTGCAGTCGCAGGCACATCTCTGAACAGCTGATCTTGCTCAGTGGGTCTTGTCCTTATTGAGGGGTCTGCAAGGCGTGGTCTCGATTTGACACGGCCGAGACTATTTGAAGAGTGTAAAGACTGTTGGTCGTGAGCATGGATTTCAGATTTGACCCTTGTTTGAGGTTTTTTTTCCCCCCACAATTCAGCCTGCGTGTGAAGATTGTGAGTTAGACGGGACAATTCTGGTATCCGGTTTCAAGTCCTGGACGGATTTGGTGAAGAGTCCCTGGACATGACAGTGCTATCTCTGCATGGCCAAAGAAACCAGAGTTGATGTGTTGATGTGTGATGCACTGATTTCTTTCAGCCTACAGTTTCTTCTCCGTGCCCAAAAGGCTCAGCAGTTTCCTGTTCCCTCTCCATTGATGTGAGCTGTACTGACCTATAACATTAGTCTTGTCTGCCACAAAAGGCCTTATGAGATATTTCCGATTTGCTCTTTTGCTTTCACTTGTTTTGTAACAATGCTCAAATTCGGCAAAGTCTGTGTATTACGTTCTGTTCTCAGAAACAACTGCCAGGAGATATTAATCAGTAAATGCATTAAGCCATCAATAAATTCACTCAGTTTCACTTGGAGATTCAGAAGGGCCGATATTGTAAAGTCACTTCAGTGTTCTTCTATTTGACATTCTTGTTCACAAACCAGCACGAGAACAAGGATCATGTAGCAGGCCTGCTTTGGCATGGCTGAAACTTCGATACCCATCCCTGCAGTAGGAGGGCTCCCTATGAGGCTGTAGGCTGGGTGCAGGATTTTAGTATCCAGATAAAACAACCTTAAGCAGGTGTGGCTCAGCGCAGTGGTCTAGGTTTCAAGTCATTTTAAAGTTTCTGTCTCTCTCCCTCTCTTCCTCGTGCTCAAACCCAGTGTTTGACCCGTGCAGCACATTGCTCGACAGGAAGAAGAGTTGGGAGTTGCGGAGGTGCGTTTTTGTCCATGTGGGTCACTTGCTACGATGGCAGAGAGAGGTGGTTAGGGCCCTGGAATCGTGATGAAAAGGTTGCAGGTTTAAATCCCATATGGGGGCACAGCTGTTGTGCCCCTGGGAGGAGGTGCTTCACGCAGGTGGACTCCATAAAATAACCAGTGCTCTTAATGAGTACAAAACACCTTTAGAGGTCTCATGCCTTTATGGACAAACTGTTGGGTGAATGAGTGAATTGCATATTTTATCATCGGGAGCATTGTTTTACACAAGTACAGAATAATATAATAGGCACATCACATGCGCGGATCTCTGGAAATTGACACTAAGCAGGGAGGAACACGTCCCTCTGTTCCTGCAGGCCTGGTTGGCATTCAAACCGATGTTACCTTCCTGAGTCAAGCAGTTTGGTCTTGCTAGTAAACTAGTTAGACTTCGATGTCAGTGGAAACGTAAAGTCCGTTTTTTGATAAGACAGAATCATGAACCCATTTGGTGACCATTAGAGGAGGAGCTGCCTGTGGCAGGAAGGTGAAAGGGGTTTTGAGATGCCAATTTCAAGTACAGGAAATAGCCTTGTCTGGCGTACTTAAATGTAAGCTTATGGAAGAAAAACAGATACACTGTTCACTGCAATGCCTACTTAGACATACTTCTTAGCTGTTTGAGGCAATATTTTGTGTGCATATATATACCCATACTGTGCGTTTAAAATGTATATACTGATAGTCATTGAAAATGTAACAAATGAGAATTGAAACTTACATTTTTAATGCCTCTTGGTTTATATTATATATGTATACATACATAAGAATGTGTATATTAGTGCTGGAATTCTATGGTATTTTTTCAGATTCCATATATCTAGATTTAGATGTATGCAACTTTTCCCTTCCAAGCTTTGACTATTCAGAAATTGTGGAAGATGCCATTCTTTCAATTATGGTGTTTTTGAAGGACTCAAGCCTATTCCTTACCTTTGCTTGTACCGATGACGCAAGTTTTTCTTAGTCCAGCCCCCACAGTGCTGATTCCTGTTAAGAATTGACGGTGTATCACCGACACCAACTTTCTCCTTTTGGGGAACCAATTTCCGATGGTCAGTGTGCACATGTCAGGGTATCTGGGCATTTTTCTGAGTGCTAATATATATACACAGACATGTATTCTAAACTTTACATATCTGGAACATTTTCCGTCTGTTTTCCCAAAGCTGCTAATCCCATAACGAAACCAGTGCGTTTGTGTGAACAGACACGTTTGGTGAGCCACTTTCCTGACACCTCACTCGCAGAACTCGCAGAACACGAAAAGACTGGGCGCCAGACATTCTTCGTTCATCCTGACCTTTGTTTGTAACTTGTTCTATAAAGCCGTGACTCGGCTGTTGCATAGAGGGGTAATAAAGTACAGTATTATGCTGTCTGAACTGGATCTGTATTATTTTCCAAAAACCTGGAAAAGGCACCTTTTTTTGGAACTCTACAAGGCACAGAAGGAAACATCCTTTTATGTAGGGCTGCTGTGACTTTAATCTGGCACGCTGTACACTGGAACAGTCTTGTTTTTCATCAGATATGTAGGACTTCTTTATCAAAAGATTACAGATTTTCTTTTTAAGTAGTGGCATCCGGTATAGAATGAAAACTCTAAGCATGAGCACACAAGGGCTTACTGAACTGGTTGTTGGTGTTTCCTTCCTAACACACACCAAATTTGAATGATTTGCAAGCATAATCATGTAATAAAATGTGGTTTTCGTTGAGTCTGCTCGGAAGTGGGCTGAAAAGACATATCCTTTCTGATTCCTGGCCGCGCGGTGATCCCCAAAATACCATCACTACCTCAGAGGACCGTTTCTTCATCTCTTGCAATGTTCACGACATTCTGTTATCTTCCAACCTTAAAATCCTTCTCATCAGAACGCACTAAAATAAAAACATCAGCATATTCAGTCCTAAGTGCTGCAGCGCACATGTGATAGGACAATAATTTTTTCCACAGATGAGCATGATTTGTTAAGGTACCTGTGGAGTGCCTTTCTCAACAGTTTATTTTGGTAACAAAGTGTACTTTTTTAAGGGAAATGCATCTTGCAGTGGATTTAAAATTCCAAACCCCCTAAGGTTAGCTTTTACATCTCATTGTTCTGATGACTTTGCTGACTTTGGCCTTTAGCTGTCCCTAACCTCTTTCAAAAAAAAAAGCCGATTCATAATGCAAGCAAAAAAAAAATAGCAAAAAAAAAAGCACAATTTAGGTTATCCAAAAGAATTTATCCTTTTGACAATACCGCTTGGGGAATGATGGTATGTATACTGTAAAGTCATATAACTGGTTGTGTTGGATGTCTGAAAGTTGACTCTCTGAATTGATCATGACTGTTCATACTTCAAGCTTTTGATTTTTAAAGTGATATATAAATAATTGTATAGCAGTTGCCTTAAGAAATTAATCTTGTCCCGAACAAAAAAGGTTGTGTTCCAAGTATGGTTTTGAAACCTTTTAGCCTGTGCAGGGTCAAATAAAATACTTGAGAACGAGCTGGGATGGAACTAACCCCTGAATTGTATTCTGTACCTGCTGACGATGAGCAATGCTGTTGCACAAAGTTGAAAATGAATTCTGTGTAAACTAAGAATGACGTGAAAGATCTACCTTTGCCACATCAACCTTCGTAACAATGTAGCGGGGAGAGGAATAATTCACTGCTTGAAACTGTGTGTAGTAATAAGCTTTAAGTAGTTCATTCTATATTTAATGGGGAGGAGTCTGCAGTGGAAGAGTTGCTGTCGCCTTTGGCTTCTGTATTAAGACTTGTTTCTGGACTGCACATTCTTGAAAAGTTGTTTGGTTGGCCATGCTCAACAACTTCCGAAAAACAGTGACGCATAGGCAATTGCAAGCAAAAAGTATGCATTCTTTGCAAGATTTTCTGATGCACTTTTTTTTCTTGTGTTATAACACCTTGCTGGTATTATTTTTTCTGCAAAAATGTAGATCTAAACCGAGAATGTAGACTGGGAAAAGACTGGGAGTTTTTCTTTTTTTAACCTCCCTCTGATTTGACCTATTCTTTGTGAGAAATTCACGGGCACCGGCACCCAGATCAAAGCAATCAAACTACGACCCTACCTGGCGATTTTGCAAATCACAAACGCAATAACTCTCGGTGGGTTTCTGTTGGGCGAAAGGAAGAATCTAACAAAGACTGTGAAGTGCTGGGCTTGATTTAGACCGGGCCTTTAATCTTGGGCCTGTTGACGAGCATGGTGCCAGTGACGAGCGATTATACTTTCCTTCATGTTCTGATTCAAAGATATGCGCAGTTAGACACCACCTCCCTTTTTGGCAGGTTGTTTGTTTTTCAATGAGACATTGTAGCAGTGAGCAAACAGACCAAGGAGGAAGCAGAGGTTTGTTCCACGCTAAAAGTAAAAAAAGTTGGGGGGCGGGGGGGAGTGTTGCTCACCTGAGTAAAGCTCCTGACTTGAGATCTATTTTTTTACACTAGAACATGGAAGTTACCTCTGCTGTTTCCTTCAAAATGCGAAGGGAAAGGAGAAAAAACTTCGTTTTTTTATGATCTTGGCATTTCTCGTAGAATGATCTAAATGTCATTCCAGTTTGAAAGTTCCCTGGCTCTTCAGCACAGATGATCAGATTAAGAAAAATGCATGTTATGCAAGTTTGTTGAGTTCTTTTCTTTTATAAGGTGCATTTATTATTAAGACCTTTCACGTATCGATTTTGTTTTTTTGTTATATGCATAAAATTGTAGTTCATTGGTTTTTAGAAACGGGCAACGTCTGCTGCCGAAGCTAAACTAAATCTGTAGAAATGTATGTTTTTAACCGAACAAATTTTAAGACCTTTTTACTGGCACTTTTCAGAACCTAAAAATGCTGGAAATATATGTAGGGGAGTAATGCTTAATTAATGTCACACTAAAATAAAATAAATGCCATTATCTGTGTAATTATCCATTCGCAAAAAAACTGAAATAATGGAAGAATTTTAGTACCTTATTTCCAGCTCATTTCTTCAGGTATAATTACTCTGAATTCAATCTTGCCTTTCTGAAACAACGTATTGAATGTCTGTGCTCTTTTTTTGTCAGGGGGAGGGGGATTGTGTGTGTGTGTGGTGGGCGGGGGGGCTAAGTCAAATTATACTGAGTGCGTCGTTCAGTATGAAAACAGGTCAGAGCCACACAGTGTAAACTTTTAAGCACTCATGTTAAAAAAAACTGATGTACCCAAAGATCTCAATGTGCATTCTGCTGATTTGAAAGCCTTTTTTATATGCATTTTTAATACATATTGGTTCAAATTATTTTTAAAAAACATAGAAATAACAACTTCAGCTTTGCATTGAAGTGTAGCTTACGTTCACCCCTAAAATCTGTCTCTGTTCAATCAGGGGAGCTGGTTACATCTTTCTTTCTCTTTTCGCACCGGTCCATAGTAACAATGTCAGCTGCAACTGGGATTTTTTACCAACCAAAGTAACTTCAGACATTTTCTTGTTAGGAAAAGATAAACAACTATGCTTTTGGTAGCTTTTTTTAATCAACTTTGGCCAAATATTATAAGGATCTGGACGTACAAGTAGACATATATGATATATAATACCGGATTACAGAGAAAACTTCATTCAGAGATCAATTTCAAACAATTTGGTCAATTTTGGTGCTTTCCACAATGCGTCTTACTACATTTTTCATTGTCTCTTGGGCATTGTGTTCAATCAGCAGTAAATCTTAATATAATTCTGGTTGCAGTTCTTCACATGATGTTTCAGTACAACTGTGGCCTTCTAGTATTATGTCTGATTATCACTATATAATTTCGCCTCCCTTTTATGTCGTTCTTTTAAAGCAGAACTCCCAGTTCTACTTTACTGCTTTGTACCTCATGCACAGCAAATTCAATTGGAAGAATTTCATTAAAAGTCTGCAAAAAAACTAATCTTCCACTTTGTTCAAGGATGCATCTTCAGCTATATTTAAAGAAGCAGAGGAGTAAACTCAAATGTGCTCTAATGTGTAAATTGTTTATTACACAGACTGCATATTCACTTGTAAGAATTTTCTAATTGTATGATTTTTTCATATTGATTTTAAAAGGAGTGTATTTTTTTTAATTTCCAATTTCTCTTTTGTTACAGATCCTATTTTTATTTTATTTTATTTTTTGCCTGACATTGTTAGTGAACTGCAGTTTCTTTACCTCTCTGTCTCCTGTATTTGAGCCTCATGTGATATTAAGTTATTTGTATTCAGTGTTTAGAAAATACTTTAGAGAATTTTGAAAGAAGTGGAAATTAGGAGCATCTGATCAATTTGTATTTATTTATTTTACCATTTTGCTAAATAAAATTACAAAAATCAAAAGTTGCCGTGATTTTCAATCCCTTCATTACATCACTGGGGGAAGTTCTGAGGTGTTTTACTTCTCATTCTTTGTGTCTGGTTATATAAGTTGTTTTTTTTAACAAATTGAAGTGAGCTCATGAATGTGCTTCAGAGTTCTATAAATATAAAACATATTCCCGGGACTGTCGCAAAAGAAACAGTGTGTTTATTCTTGTCTTTACTGAAGGAAAAGCTTGACAGATGAATCATCTTTTCAGCGCGCAGCTGAACTATAATGATGACACATGTTCTTTTTTTGAGGCAGGGTAATATCACTTCAGCTTTGCAAGATCTCTAGGCTTAAGAAAGTAAAAATGATACCAACATGTATTCATCACAGATCTCTTTACTTAAAACCAGGAATTTTTCCTGTCTGCTCTTGCCTGTTTTTAGTCATCCGCCTTGTGAACTTTTTGGGATGTACCCCAGCTTCAGAAACCATTATCACCAATCCAGGTAGCTTAAATAGCTCCAGTAACGCTTTGTATGCTTTCTGGTAGGACTAGACACCGCAAGAAATTGTAATCTGACTGGATTTCCCCTCCTCGTATTTATCTTCGTGAACCCTGAGCAGCACAGATTTCCCAGAATCCTTGTTTAAGGGTGCTACAGAGCCGGTGTCCTCTCTTAAGAGTCGGCGTCATTTGCTTAGCAGACATCTTTATCCAAAGCAATGGACAGACTTCCATTAACTTCCTACTGCTTATTCGTGTGCAATATATTGCTTTTTATGTTTGCTATAGTAAAGATGTTACAATCGTTTGAAATGATGTAGCACCTAAACTCTCATGATTGGATGCGACGGATTTCATAATATAGACCATGTGTGGCTTCTAAAGCTTTTTTTCAGTTGTGTTCTCCCTCAGAGATGACGTGTCAAAATTCTTAAGAGAATCCGGTGGCTACCATCAGCTTTACGCTCTCGGAGAGAGGACCACCTGGAGCATGTGCTCCAGGGCCTCTCCTCTAAAGGTATGCAGCTCTGGGTCGCGATGCCCCCAGCAGCATTGAGCTGGTGAGGATCACGGCTGTCCTTCCTCCAGCGCACAGGAGAGAAGAAACTGTCCAGCCCGGGTCCAGCCAGAGCCGTGCCGGGGAGAGGGCGCCACCTGCTGGTGGGAGGAACTCCGGTCACAGGCGGCCTCGCTCAGCCTCAGACACCGCACTCCCGACGCGCGCTGACGTTGTAGCTGTGGGTGTCGCAGGGGGAACGGCGGTGTTGCGGCAGTCCGTGCGGAGTTCGGTCCTGGGGTCCCCCCCTGGGAGGGCCGGAGAGACCCCGGCGCTCGCCGGCCGCCTCACCACTGCATGGTCTTGCTGCGGGTCAGCTTGCTCTTGAGGGCGTGGCTCATCTGCAGGACGCGGGAGCGCTTGTCCATGGCCATCAGGTGCTTGTGAAACTCCAGCCTGACTTCCCGGACCAGCTGGGAGAACGCGGCCTCCACGGCGGCCGAGCTCTCCGCCACCGACAGCTCGTAGAAGGGACACCTGAAAGCACAGCGCAGCCTCAGGGGGCCCCTTTCTTTCAGGAGACCGTGCTGGAGGATCCTGGCCTTCTTTGGAAGAGGCACGCCACTGGCACGTGTCGGATTCCCTTTCGCACCCAAAATATCAGGTACAGCACTATTATTTGTTTTTAAAGGGGATTTAAAAAACTTTAAGGTGCTGGAAGGTGGGTATACAATCAAGAATCACTCTGTTGACTCCAGCTAAGCACTAGGTCTAGTCAGCTTTGTAATTTGGTGGCCAAATGATCAATCGAGTAACAATGGGCTGGCTCTGTTGAGCACATAGCTGAAGTATTATTCACTGATCAGACTTGTGGAATGCGTTCTAAAGCCCTTATCGTACCCCCGCCAGGTCTGTGTGGGTGCAGAGAGATGAAATACCTTAGATCCCCGGCCAGGGACTGCCCTTCCTCCGTCCGGACAACCCGCCCGTTCTCCATGTCCGATTTGTTGGCCACAATGACGGTGGGAATGCCTGCAGGCAGGAAACAGGAGGCACCTGAGCAGCCGGGGCTTAGGCTTTGCTGCATAAACACAATCTCCTGTACTCCCCTGTACTGCTGTCAGCAGTGAAAGCACTGATGGAAGCCCTGGAGTGGACAGCTCTCGACTGAGTTTTTGGTGGTGTTGTAATGGCTTGTGTAGAGCTGAATGAATGAAATGAATGGCCTTATTAATCTCTCCCAAGTGCACTGGATAGGAACATGTTAAAGGAAACACGTCCCAGACAGGTTCACTCGCACTGCTACTCGCATTGACCACCCCTCAATCTTACTTTTTGCTTACCTAGAATACAACTGTGGTTGCAAAGCCCTGTCACATTAAAATGAACACCTCCCAGGTTAGCCTGAATTATCCAATTGATCCCACAGCACATCATTGGGAGGAGAGCAGAGTGATGAAGCCAGTTCAGAGATGGGGGTTATTAGGAGGCCATGACTGGTAAAGAAAAGGGGAGAAATTTGGCCAGGACACCAGGGTAACACCCCTACTCTTCGAGAAACTCCCTGGGATTTTTAGTGACCATGGGGAGTCAGGACCTCGATTTTATGTCTCATTCAAAGGAAGCCGCCATTTTTACAGTACAGTGTCCCCGTTACTATAGTATGGCATTAGGACCCACACAGATTGCACGGGTGAGCGCCCCCTGCTGGCCCCACTAACGCCTCTTCCAGCAGCAATGTACTCACCCAGAGTCTGTTTGACGTGGTCGATCAGCCTCTTGAGGTGGGACACAGCCTCGAAGCTGCTGCGGTCGGTGATGGAGTAGATGATGAGAAAGCCGTCACCCCATTTAATAGAAGCCTCCAAGGAACTGGCGGCTGGTCCCACACCCTGATGCAGGAGAGCAGAAGAAAGATTACTAAGGAGAGGAGGTCTTTAAGCCAATCTAGTAGGGGTGTAACCCTGGTGTCCTGCCAAATTTCCCATTGGCCCTAACCAATCATGGCCTCCTAATAATCCCCATCTATGAATTGGCTTCATTACTCTCTGCTCTCCTCCACACTAATAGCTGATGTGTGGGGAGTGTTCTGGCGCACTATGGCTGCCGTCGCATCATCCAGGTGGGGCTGCACATTGGTGGAGGTAGAGGGGAGACCCCATTACCTGTAAAGCGCTTTGAGTGGATTGTCCTGAAAAGCGCTATATAAGTGTAAGCAATTATTATTAATTATTATTATTATTATTATCTAGCTTGTTTGGTTTCTAATGGGTAAAGGATCCAAGAATCGCATCCAGTCAGGGTGTCTATTTCAACAACTTCACTGGGCAGCTTGTTCCCTGCTCCCACTGCTCTTTGTGCGGAACATGTCCCCTCCTCTTGGTTTTAGAGAGAACGGCCCACACGTTGTGTCAACGCACTGTCCTCTGGTTTGCCCTTCGCTGTTGATGTTTAAACCAGTCCATGGGGTTTGGCAATGATTTGAGGATTTTTGGAAAGTTGAATCATGTCACATCACAGTCTTCTTCGACTGAGCCCTACAGCAGAAGATCGAGTGATCCTAATCTGTCAGCGTAGGACATTCCTGCTAAACCGGCACCAGAAAAGTAATATTTAATGTACAAATGCATAAGGCTTTCAGGCATCAACCTTTAACTTTGCTTTTTTAAAAAGGCTTGTATTTAGTTAGTGGCTGTGTCTACTCCATTTTCTTATCTTGTATCTGCTTGTGTATTTTATATGAGCTTATTCTGTCATTTGCTGTTCTTACAACTGTTTTTACACCTACTGTAAAATGCTTTGAGATGCTACTTTTAAAGGTGCTATATGAAATTATTATTATTATTATTATTATTATTATTATTATTATTATTATTATTATTATTAAGTTGAAGAATTACAAGAGTGATTTTGTTATTCTTTACCCTCCTCTGTGATTTCTGTGATTGCAGATCACTTTTTACGAGAATGAGCACATGACAAGACGAAAGTGGGGGATGGTACTGATCTTATGCACTCACGACCAGTAGCTGTTTTGTTCTGTAATTGTCTTTCCTGCCTGGGTGCTGTTTTGTTCAGCGTCGTGACCTGTTGGTCGTGAACGCTACTTGACCAGGCCCGCTGCTGTTCTGCACCGCGTGTTCAGCAAACAGAAGCTCTGATTCGGCTCCAAAGGACTCGGACGTGTCCACAGGTGCCTTCTTCACTATAGCGGCTCTGTGTGCGCCGAGACCTGTCTGGAAGTCGACATGCGAGATGACGACGAAAAGCAGGCCCCCGTAACTGTGCAGTTTCAAGAGGCTGGAAAGTAAACAGCGCAAGAAAGAAAAATTAACAGTCCAACAGACGAACTAGCAGGCACCCCTGCTCATACCTTCTTGTTAGCAGTATCCAGTATCTCAAGATCAATGGCTTCTTTGTCCACAATTTTTCTGCACCTGTATGTTACTTCTAAAAAAGAGTAAAGACACAAAAGAAACAATTTCAGGTTTATAAGGCTATATTCCTACGTGTATTATAAAAGAAGAAACACTAAACTCGGTTCAGCTTATTTACCCTTTTTATGGTCATATTCCCCAATGAAGCGCTTGGTGATGAATCTGACACACAATGCTGAAATAAAACAGAACATGGAGTTTCACTCCTCAAGTTTTTCTAAAAGCTGGCTGTTTCTAATATTTAATGTTGGAAACACCCTCCTCCCCCCTCCCTCACACACATATTGTGTTTTTGGAGTAAAATCTAAATTTTTCTTTTGCAGATTTGTTATTATTCTAGATGTGTTCCAGCCACAGTACAGCCATTTCTACCCGACAACGTTTATGGAATCAAAGGAACAAGTACAGGTTTATTCCATGCTGAAAAGAGAAGAAAAGAAAAACAACGTTTAGACTGTGGAGACTTATTCCCTTTGGAATAAACCTTTACTTTTTCCTTTGCAGCCTATACAGTTTTTATGGAATAGTGATCCTGGTTTAAAAAAAGGGCATCACAAGGCACTCTCTATATTTGCAAATGGGAAATTTAAAATGGAATTCACTCATTATTTGATACTTCGATACCTTAGAAATCCAGACAAAAAAACAGCAAAAACACAATTCAGTGGCCGAGTGGAAATGGGTCATAATTTACTCGAGGAATAGGTTTTCCCGCTGTAAGAAAATCCCCCCAGACTGTCTGAAAAGATATGGGTGCCTTCTTTCTTCTTCCAATCCAGACGGTATTGTAAATGATGTATTCTTTCTGAGCGCTGTAGACCGAACGGAGCCGATAGAAACTTAATATGTTGTTGGCAAAAGTTGAACAAGCTTACAATAAGAACCATATTGTTTGGGGTAGGGGCAACACTTGTAGTCTCTGCACTGAATATTACTCAGTTTTATTCCAATACAAAATAAGCCAAATATCACAAATTCTAAGAATCCTTTCTTTTTCCCGTTCAGACATCGTGAATGCAACAGTCGTACTGGGCACAAGGCGCTGTACTGTCTGTAACATATGGGCATTGATCCTGTTCTCCGTCTTCTAAATGATCGCAGTGCAAAGTAGATTTTCTCTACATGTTGCTACGGTAAATCTCGTGAGCATTAAAATTATTCATTAGAGTGCATCTCACACTAAAGAATGCAGTTCTATTTTACCGTGCCGTCGGCTGTCTTTCTCATTGTGCCCCCGCAGATTTTATTTAAGGAGAGCGTGTCTGCGAAAATGTCTCTTTCCAGTCCTTACCAGTCTTCCCGCAGTTGCCCCGTCCCAGGATCACTACCTTGGCTCGGCTCAGCCTGCCTGCTTGTCCCCCGTCTGTCATAGTTGTCCAGGAAGCTGTCTTATAAAAGATATTTAGGATTAACACGGCATTCCTCCTCCATCGAGAACTGAAGACGCTGATTACAGTGTATGTCAAAACACAACTGCTAAAACCTGACAAGAAAAAGTTAAAACTTACTTAACTTTACCGTACTTTAGTCATCGTTAAAACAGCCTGGGTTTAAACGAGATGTTTCCCCAGGTGAGGTGGGATGTTGATGAAACACAGCACTACCTGTAACTCTCAAACCAAGAACACACATTTTTACCTAGTGCAGAAAGATGAAGGCGTAAACCTCAGCCCTAATCTATGAAGTGCAGTTGTCTTCTGTACTTGAACCGGGCTGCAGACTTTTGCTGTTCTTCTGTAAAACAAAGTTACAACGTATAGCCAAAATGTAACTTTCCTCCAAATCCCCGAGTCCGCTCAAGGGCGGAATGAAGCATTGCCCGAAGATTCACTCTGGTATAGATCAGCACCAAGTAAGGACCCTTTCAGGAGTTTCTTTTTCAAGTTTGCAAGCGTCTATTAACACAGTTTGATCCTGTTCGCGGTATTTGGAAGCAGAAGAACCCTACTTATCTGTGTTGCAGCTAAAATCATAGTTTGGAATCATAAGACAACTTACCCCGTGGGAGGGTGACAGTCGGTCATTTACATTGGTAAGGTCTTCACTATGAGGAGGTGAATGGAGGACACACAAAAACCACCAGCGTGGAAAGTTGATTGAAAAGTATATTCTGAAAAACAACGGCAAATCTGAAAACTGCCCCGCTCCTCGTACTTAGAGTTGCATTGCAACACGCCAGTGCTGAATTTGGCGACTCGGTGTTTTCATCAACATCACGCATGCAGCCAGCGAACTGTGACTCCGGTCCTGCTGATCATTAATTGGAAGGTCCTGAAACAAGCTGCTGTTTGTTGTTTTTTTTTTTAATGGCGTGATCTGTGTGTGCTCGCTCGCTGTCGGTCGAATCCAGTCTGCTTTGAAGTTGGAAAGATTTCTTTACCTTGTAAGAACGCGCTCTCCAGATCTCATTAAATGGCACTTTGATTTATTGTGTTTGACAATGGAGCGCCACGGTCCGAGCGCACAGGTCCTAGCGCCGACGCAGTGCGCCTTTTCGCCAGGATCAGCACTGCTGGCATAGTTCTGAATCACTTCACAAACCCACAGTACCTGTAGCGCCAAGCAAATCTTCATAATGAAATTCAAAAGGCGAACTTCACATGAAAAAAAAATCATAGTTTCTAATAACAGTAATTCATTTTATACAGTACAAGAATTCAACATTATTTTCAGTGCTTCTAGTAATCACCTTTCTTATTAACTGACCTCTGTTAATCGATAAATGATTTAGAAATGAAGACTGTTGTCATTTTTAAATCTATGCCTGTGTTAACAGGGTATTGTGCATTTCTAAATTGTCATCCTCAGCTCTTATTGTAACCTCCTTAAATATCCATATGTATTTGTAATCATGACCATGGGAAGTGGTGTTTTAGCTTTTAAAAATGTCAGTTTTAAAATGAGTAAATGAAATAGGCCCGGGACAATTTTTTAGATAGAATATACTTCAGCAATCCTTCCAAGATCAGAAATAAGCTAATTTCTAGTAAGCACAGAGCACAAGACAGGACTACACTCCAGGCAAACGTGCACAAATGGTCAAGTCAGAGAAGCCAACTGAGCTAGGTGGTGTGTCTCTGGAAGGCAGAGAAACCGGAGCTCCTGGAGAAAGTCCATATAGACACAGAAGTGACACGCAAACTCCACACAGAAAGTGTCCCATTCCAGAGCTGACTCCAGGATGGAAGAGCTGAGTGGCCGCCACCGTCTTTACATCTGAGGAGGGAACCCTTTCTCAAGTATCTATACTCAAGAAATAGTCTGGCATGGCTAAGGGTAAGCTCTTTCTTTCTTCTTACATTTATACATTATAAATAGAATGCAACACGGATGGAATTTTAAACCATTTAAGGTGAACATGATTTTAATCAACTATTTTATTAGTCAGATATAGAAAACAGTCAAAAGAAAACCCAAAATCCAAAAAATCAGTTTATTGGAGACCTAAGATAAGAAGAGGGGTGACCATGTCAGCTGAGACAGAAGAAAAGATAAGATCACTTTATTGGCTATTTACAATATCTTGCATTAGGAATTTGTCTTTTCACAGACCCCAGCTTGCTCTCCATGAGACACACAGACAGGGAGAGAGAAGCTGGGGGTCAGAGCGCAGGGTCGGCCATTAGACGGCACCCTTGGAGCAGTTGAGGTTAAGGGCCTTGCTCAGGGGCCCAATGGAGTAGGATTCTCTTTGGGCAATGTCTGGTTTCCACACAGGCAGTAAAACACTGTCCATAATTCCATACTTTGATTTACTGCTGCTGAAGACACGGAGTGTATGCATTCTACGCACCATGGAACCAGATGTATCGCTATAGATATACTGTAAAAAGTCACTAAATCCCATGATGTAAGGCATAAACATATGCAAACCTGTTCTCCGGACATACATACACTCAGAATCAGATTAGTGATTATGCCTTCATTTAATTCAGTCCAAACTGCACACCTCATTTAGTTTAGCCAACAGGACCTAATAAAGTAGGTTTGTACATATCCATCACGCTGACTACTGTGGAAAGAATAAGGACAATTTAAGTGCCATTCCTCACAAAAAAAAAAAACGATCCAGGGAATGAATCATGTCTGATTAATTGAGAAAGGATGAACTGGAAACACATGCACTGAACAGATTTAATGTAGCTCAACTGCCTGATGTAGGCAGTATGGCTTCAGAACAGCTCCAGCAGAGCAGAGAGTGAGGAGATAGGACACTCAGCTCCCTTCCTAATGGGTTTAAATGGGACAGACAATCTATATAGCCAATCAAACCAAATTCACATCTCTCTGGGAGGTGCAAGGAAATTAGTGTAAACGTGTGGGGAAAAATAAGTATTAGAATTTTTAAGCTTGGTACAAAAAAATATATTTCAAATGTATTTCAGATTTTAAGTTAAGAAGGCTTTATCTTGGTTTTAATACAGCTAAAAAATGCGACAGCTGAGGATTACTGAATGATCTCAATTTGTTCACCCGTTAGTAGAGTGTTCATTATTATGGTATTGTATAATTCACGGATAAGGAGACCAGCTCACAAAAGGGCAAAAGACAGTGTCCACTGTTAAGTGTACTTCTGGTAAAGTCCAATTAAGACCTCCGTAGGAAGTTTCATACTGAATTAATAAATTTGTGCATTTCCAGACACTTTCTTTTAAAATAAAGTATGTGGAGTAAGATTCTTTAACAAAAATGTCATTACAGAGAGAAATCCGAAATAAATGATGCAGTTTTTCTCCCCGTTTCTGTTACTGGAAAAATGAGACTAAACAGAAATATCAATCTCATCCATCTTTACTCTTGAGATAAGCCACAACTGGATATAGTCAGGGCTTTCATGAATGCTTTCCATCTGTCTTTTTTGTGGTTGTATAAGTAGTTGGAAAAAAAAATAAAAAAGGAGATTTTTTTCCCTCATGACAGGAGTTTCCATTAAGAGTTGTTAGGAACTGCTCTGGTCCTGTCCCGCTGCTTTGAAGAGATACAGTACAAAAATGACACTGAGCAGGGGATGGCTTACTTACAATATCTCACTCCAAGCCCATGACAGGTGCATTAACAAAGCACCTTTAGAGCAAGAACAGACATAGATGAAATTATGTTACTCAGAGACAGACGCAAATGGAAAATGAGGCCGTCAATCAGGGGGGTTTCCTTCTGAAGTGGACACAGACTCTTATCAGCGTTATCAGCTTTATCTTGGGAACACTTTACATGACATAGCCGTAAGACGACAGATTCTCTCAAAGTTGCGTTTGTCAACATCAAAGTTGCGTTTGTCAACATGGACTGCTGGGGGAAGAGAAAACAAATTAAACTCGACGAGGAACACTTTCCCCGTTTTAAAACCATCAGGGACGCCCCGGAGCGGTCACTGCGTCAATGACACAACCGGGGCTTCGGGGATATTCCGGGTGGGCTCGCTAGCTGAAGTGATTGAGGATCAGCTCCTGCCGGATCCTGAAAGCTTCCGGGTCCATGGAGTCCATCTGCTCGCAGCCTTCGTCCGGCTGGTCAGGGGTCTCCGTGCGCTCGAAGGTCCAGGCGTCCAGGCCGGTCTGGAGGGACACGTTGTGGAGCACGCAGCAGGCCAGGATGATGTTGGCGCACTTCTCGGGCGAGTACTGCAGGTAGCCCTTGGACCCGTCCAGGCAGCGGAAGCGGGTCTGTAAGGCCCGGTAAGTCCGGTCAATGATCTCATGCGTGGCCGTATGGGCCATGTTGTAGCGGTATTCCGCAGGGGTTTCTGGGTACTGGAGAGGCGTCATCAGCCACTTCTTCAGAGGATACTTGTTGTCTCCTTCAACGCACAAAACACACAGATACATCAACAACACACCTAGGCAAAAACAAAAACATCTTTACCCACTTCACAAGAGCACGGCAGAGAGGATACAAGCAACCTTTGATTTGATGTAAGAAGCTCAAGAACGCACAGACATTATCAGAAAGAAAAATGGTTTAAAAGATGAGATTGTTCATCTGTTTAGTTCAGGTTATAGGTTAAACGCAAACTAAATACGGCGAAATCGTTGAAATTTTACAACTCACGCCAGCATGACACCGCTTCGAAAAAGTGGCAAGTCTAAAACTTCCCCCTCCAACAAAATTATAGGTAAGATAAGATCATTTTATTAGCCCTATATAATTTCTTGCATTCTTGGAAACCCCAGCTCACTCTCCATGAGACACACAGATGGGGAAAGAGAAGCCTGGGGTCAGAGTGCAGAGTCAGCCATTGTACAGCGCCCCTGGAGCCGTTGGGGTGAAGGGCCTTGCTCAGGAGCCCAACGGAGTAGGATTCCTCTGCCGGCCGCGGGATTTGAACCGGCAACCTTCCAGCCACAGGCGCAGATCCTTTGCCACTGCTCCGCCCCCAAATGCGTTTCCCCCCCCCCCAAAACGGCACTGGGATATTGAAAGAGCCATTATTTTAAGAGTGGATGCAAATAATTCCGCTCTACAGAAAGAAAGGGAAGAGCCAAAGAGATGTGAGCAACACGAGAGGTCTGGCATCTCGCCCCTACAGTATGTGATGAGAGAAGGCAGGGCCCATCGGCTCCCGGCCTCTGCAAGCAGTCAAACTAAACCAAGACGGGAACGAAGGAGGAGCCGACGAAGGCTTACCCAGCAACCAGCCGTCGTGATGCACCTGCTCTTCGAACAGCCTGCTCACCGTCGATTGCTGAAATATGGCCGTGTCCTGCAGGCCCCCAGGCCAGTGGGTTTCCGCACTCAGCAGCAGGCCTCTCGGATCGCACACGAGCTGGCAGTTGATGGAGTGAAACCCTTTCCGGTTGACATACGACAGGTCCTCGGCATTGGGGGCCTTGATGGCAATGTGGACGCAGTCCACCACCCCCAGCACGTTGGGCACGCCGGCCACCCGGTAGAACTCGTCTCTGCACTGCTGCTGTGTCGCCTCGTCCTGCGTGAAGCCGATGAACTGGGAGGCCTTTTCCACCAGCGCCTTGGTCACGTTGGCGACGCACCGGCTCATGGAGGCCTGGCTGATCCCTATCGCATCCCCCATCCGGGTCTGGAAGGATCCCGAGGTGTAGAACCCCAGAGCGGCCAGGATCTGCACATCGGGGCTGATGGCCCGCGACCTCTGAGTGGGCCGCGACAGGGTGTCGCCCAGCATTTCCACCAGGTAGTAGATGAATTCCCGCGGGAAGCCGAAATTAGTCAACAGGAACTCATCCGAGACGGTCTCTATGTCAAACCTGTCCAGGGTCCTCTGTCCACGGCCGTAGAGCAAAAGGTCACAATCCAGTATAGCTATAGGGATAGCCATCCCCGATCCTGTAACACGATCAACGACGTGAACAGTCTGGCAGGGCCTGCGAGAGACACAGATATAAATAGTTCACTATGGACAACGACATCCAAGAACTGAATGCTAGGAGTATTTGATGGGAGAGGCTGGGCTTGGTCAGTGCGCAGCGTAGCTAGTTTGGATAGGGTACAGGTGTGAGAGACTGTCTTGTCGGCGTTAACCCTCCCGAACTGATTCCATTTCCATGCATCAATGACGTGATCGCACTGACGCTTGACATACTAAAAGGCAAAACAATTACATTACCAAAAAACAAACGCTGCATTAAAAAGACTCACACGCTCTCTGTACATTAAACCAAAACTTTCAACGATTTTCAGGAAGATGCAATGTATAAAACAGACCTTTGATCTTCTGTGAATATCCGCGCAATGTGAATTAGACTAAAACCTCCAATACGGTAACGGGGCTTAATGTACTAAAACAAAAGGTATTTTCTTAGTGCGTCTATTGCCTGAAATTCACATTAGTAGTAGTAATTAAGTAGCAGTGATATAAATTCACATTAGTAGTAGTAATTAAGTAGCAGTGATAATAATTAATGACGCCAGCGTTCACAATAAAGTCAAATTACTCATATGATTTTAGCCTGCATCATGAAAGACATCTAAATGCTGTATCATTACAAGACTTTTCACTGTAAACCATGTTGTATCATAATGTTTCCAGGGCATCAGACAACTCACAAATACTGCTGTAGTACTACTGAGTAATATTAAAATGTACCTTTTTGTAGAATAAAAGGCAAACCTGTCTGTTTACAGTCCACACAACTACCCACATACACCTCCATCGGGCATGACTGCAGAGCGTAAGTATCGAATGTTTCTCCTGCGCAGTTTCGACAGTATTTTTTTTCCACCTCTGAAATACTATAAAAGCCAGAGAGCTGAGCACATCGAGAAAACAAAATATTAGTAGAAATATAGAGTATTATTTCGGATTGTTTTATTGTTATGACGCATGGTTATACAGCCATGAAATACCGAAAGTGCGACTCTTGTCAGAAGCGCTGCTAGCTTTACTTACCCTGACCCGATGAAAACAAACAGAGAAATGGAACAGTTGGCAGATTTTGTTTTGCTGGTTTCTTTAAGTTTTTTAGAATGGTTTTGAAATACCGGACTTTTTCGACGGATTGAAATAAAAACTGTTTGACTAATATTTAAAAATTACGAAACCGTCAATTAGAGTCGAAGAATCCCGTAATCTTATACTGTGATGAGCTGTAAGTATCACGGTGCTTGAACCAACAAGACTACGTTTTAATTGCTACCAATTGCGTATTTTCTAAATTCTAAACGTTAAATATTCGTGGGTCTGTTTATGGTAACTCTATTATGCATTAAAAAGCATAAACATTATTTACTGTAATAGTTTGTATTTTTAATTATTTGCACAACGAGTGAGCCAGGATAACAGAATTGCTGCTATTTGCTGTAGTTATTGTAGGGTGTTAATAACTTCGTGATTGTCTTCTAAACGGCTTCCCCACGTCGGATAAATAAAAGCAAATAGCCAGTACTGAATACTAGTAAGATTGTAAACGTATGTATTACTGTAGGTTTAAGCTGCGTCAGTACACCTAGCGTTAGTTTCAGATGCGGTCTGTGAATACCTTGCGCACATTTCCTATTGCTATTGCTGACCGTAAAATGTATCATCTTTCGCTTTTTTTTTAAAGTTGCCTTCCATAATGGACAGCGATTTGAGCCCACAGGATAAAAAGGACTTGGACAAATTCATCAAATTTTTTGCCTTAAAGGTACTGTGGCTCGAAAATAAAAAAAAAGATGCGGTTCCTGGGTTCATGTAAATATATTCATCAGGGGCGCCAACGTAGTATTCCAGGTGTCTTTGAATATTAATAGATGTGAAATACCTTATGATAATGTTTAAATGTTACACTCGTCTTGGCGAAGGCCATGCATAATAGTTAAGGTTTTTTGCCGTGCAGTTCTATTTTATTAATTGGGCTAGAAGTTTTGGGAGAATAGTACCCAAAAATAGTTGTGTTATGATATGGTAACTAATTTCACATATGGATGGATGTTTGCCCATTATGCCTTCTGGCATGTAGGGACAGCAACAGTAATGTTTTTTTTTTATGGTACAGGTATGTTAGCCTTGTGCCCAGCCTCCAACATGGAGGACCTGGCACCCGACGAGGGACACGAACCCACTACCCTGAGATTATGAGTCTCATTCTCTATCAACAGAGCTAGTCGGGCTGTCATTTCACATATAACCCACCATTAATATATTTATTTCTGATGATGATTATCATCTCCATGTTCAGTTCAGTTTATTTGTCATTTGCACAAGTGCAATGAAATGCTTATTTGCATGTATTCTCCAATACAGTGACTTTAATGAAACACCAAACCTAAACATGGAACAACAGCAGCAACAACAAAGTTAAAAAAACATCCAACTTAAATCCACGTTAAAACAGCAGTGTGAGTCAGTGGTAGAGGTAGAGTTCAATAATTCTAAGTGACCTTTATGCAAAATGACGACTCGCATTTAAAACATTCGCTGACATGAAAAATGAATTAATTGTTGATGGTGAACGTCCGCATTATCCCTTTGTTCCAGACGGTGCAGGTGATTGTTCAAGCCCGACTTGGGGAGAAGATCTGCACCCGCTCCTCATCCTCGCCTACTGGCTCTGACTGGGTAAGACTCCGTCACAGCAGGGCGATCATACAGCCTGGGTCATGCTACCAGCTGACTGTGCCTGGAGTGCTCCAAGCAATGACACCCACTCCACTCCACCCCAGTGGCTGCCACTCCAGGGCAGAGGAGGTTAGGATTAGTTGAGACCCCTGTAACTCCCAGGAAGACTTGTACACTTGTGGTGACGTCCGCAAGGAACACACTTGCCTTCTATTTTGCACGGAACCCTCCTGTACATAACAGCAGAGTCTATAGCATGCCAAGACAAATGTCTTCAAGGGTGGGGAAGTGCAAGGAGCCTGTCTGCACCTTTCCATTCACCATGTAGGCATAAAGAGATCATCATTGTGATCCAAGACAAAGATACAAGGGAGGATTCCAAATGATAAAATATTAAAAATATCTGAAAAAATAAGCAGTGATTGTAATGTAACTCATGACAAAAAAAATAACAAGGCAGAGTCTTAACCTGCCATCCCAACCTGTTGATTAATTTCTGTGTTTGGCTCACCTGGCAAAACCCTAAGCAGATGCTTTGAAATACTTTTTAGGTTTTGAAAATGTCCATGATATTTAATCAATTGGGAATATCCAGTTCCAGTGATTGATTTCCAAAGAAGTTCATTATTCATGTGCCCGTGCATCTTTCAGTTGATCCAGATACTGTAATGTGAGTAATTTTACACATCTAGATTTAATTTAAGATTTGAATTTACCTTGAATGTTTTTTTTTTAAAGGAGAGCACTAAAGTTCCTAATTTACAGGTCTGCTAACTGAAGTGTTTAGTTTGTATGTGTTTGCTGTGTTTGTGTGCTTTTTTTGGTAAATGTGTTCTTTGTCTTGACAGTGAAAAAAGTGCCGTTTTATCTTTACAGTTCAATCTAGCAATAAAAGACATCCCAGAAGTTACCCATGAGGCTAAAAGAGCTCTGGGTGGTCAGCTTCCAGGAATTGGGAGGTCCATGTGTGTGGAAATCTCCCTTAAAACCTCAGAGGTAAGAAAACAGCTGTCAAAGCAGAAAAGGCCTCATTTGCCCCTAAATGGATTTGGGTCCTTTATTTAACTACGAAAATCAGTTGAGAAGAAAGTCTAATTTATTGAGAAGTTACAGCCTAACAATGTACTCATTCACATGGCAAGATCAAGCTGTGCAGCTTGTAGGTTGCACAAGGGCAGAACAACAGCATCCTATTTAGAATTTGAATGGAAGTCCACTGGTCTTTTTGTTTGTATAAGAACAGTACCAAGATGAGGGAATTCGCATTTCATTAAAATACATAGAGTGAGTGATTAGCTCAGTTTGTAGAGCATGTGCTATGACATGAAGATGTGAAGCTCAGTCCTTGTCCATTATCCTACATGGCTGTCTTCGTAAATCACTTGGCAAACTCATTGAAGAATGATGCCTTCCATAAATAAGACTGACTATCGATGATTTATTTTGTTGCATAACCTCTTTCCTACCTTGTTGAAACGTTCTAGACTACTTTGTTTTTTTTTTTATTTTCAGTTATAGTTTGCTTAAACATTGGTATCCTTGAATTAGCTATTAAGTATGTATGGGCAGCTTTGCGATAAGATTGACTGTGATGCTGAAGAATAATTCTTATGCAGAACGGATTGAACTGGTTATCTGTCATTTGTCTTGTTATATTCATAGGGAGATTCAATGGAACTGGAAACATGGTGTTTGGAAATGAATGAGAAGTAAGTCTTAGTTGTAAGCTGTTTTTTTACTGCCTCATTAATGATCTCATAAATGTTTATATGGTTGTATTGAAGCTTTGGCTAATATATTTTCTGAGGCAGACCATGGGGAACATACTGATTATCCTGCTAATTATCCATTCAAGCTGTTTCGTTTAGAAGTATGTTATGTGTCTTTTCAATATTAACAACGAACACAAAAGTTAAAAAGGTGGGGGTAAACCATGCATTTTATTTTTGGAATATACTCCCTTTTAATGTATATTCTGAATGTAAAACTGGCAAAATAACTTTGTTTCTGAATTGCAGTTTTTTTGTTTGGCTTATTTGGTTTTAAATCTGAAGATGCATCAGGGATGCTTCTATAAGGATAGTTTAAATGGCCTTTGGAGCACAAATTGCAGTCAGCTCATATTGTTGATACATAAGATGGCTAAAGAGATGAAATGTTGTTTTAACTAAATCTTTGGAAAGCTCTGTTAAAGTAAAAGTAGACTGCAGTGTTATATCACCATTCAGAAATCTTAAACATATTGTTTCAAAACAGCAACAATACAAGAGCAACAATGTACCAGGCTACAAGAAGGCCAAGGAAAAGCAGTCTGATTCTAAAAAATGTTTTGTTATTCTTCCCTGAATAAAAAATGTAACTCTTTATTTTCCAGGTGTGATAAAGATATTAAAGTGTCATACACTGTTTACAACAGACTGTCTCTACTGCTTAAATCATTGCTGGCTATAACGAGGGTGACACCCGCCTACAAGCTATCAAGGAAACAAGGCCATGACTATGTCATTCTGTACAGGTAAAAATACTTTATACACCTGTGGGAAGCAGTGTCATTGTAATAGGTTTTAACATCTACAAACATTTGGCTAAAATGCTTTTCCATGGAGTTCTGAACCCTTAATGCAGTGAGTTCTGCATTATAAAAGTGCACCTTTGAGTGTGTAAAGGTAGTAGAACTATGTTGACCTGTGACTTTTAATTTTTGTATTGCAACTGACAGAAATCCTGAAATGCAACTGTTATTTTGTCATGGTATTGACATGATGGAGATAAAAGCACTATAAATGAGGGAACATATTTTTGGTCACAAATTGGTTTCTCTTTGCATTAAAATTTAATATTGGGTTTCTTTCTTCTGTGTTTTTTAATATGTGTTTTATTTTCTTGCAGGATATATTTTGGTGAAGTGCAACTTGCAGGGCTTGGAGAAGGTATCCTTTTTAATCTTTTGTTAAATGTTACAATTTTCATACAGTGCGAAACAAAACTATAATATCCCAAGTATTTCTATTCGATAGTATGTATCCTCACACTTTTATTACTAATTCACCAAACCTTGAAATAATCGCTGCACTTATGATCATGTCGTACACATTGAAATTGAGAATAAGCATGTTTTGTATACCCAATGTGTTTGGCCTGTCAGGGCCAGGACACCAGAGTTGACACTACTTCTCTTTTTGAAAAACTCTCTGGGATTTTTAATGACCACAGAGAGTCAGGACCTCAGTTTTACACCTCATCCGAAGGACTGCACCTTTGTTTACAGTATAGTGTCCCCATCACTATACTGGGGCATTAGGACCCAGGTAGAGCGTCCTCAACTGGTCCCACTAACACCTCTTCCAGCAGCAACCGTTGCTTTCCCAGGAAGTCTCCCATCCAGGAACTGGTCAGGCTCCAACCTGCTGAGCTTTAGTGGGCTGGCAGGTATGTGTTGTAGGGCAATATAGCTGCTGGCAACATGCCACAAGAACCACAGCCCTGGCCAGAGGAGAGGCACAGCTCTGGCTGATAACAGCCGGCATGTGCCCCGAGAGACTGCAGGGGTCACCATGTTGCTGAGAGCCCTGCTGAGTTAAGGGCCTCTCATTTAGACATTCCCAGTCTTGGACAGCTCATGACAGGACCCTAGCTCGAACCCGTGACATTTAGGTCAAAGAACACCATGTGCACTCAGACGGCCTCCTTTAATGGTTGAGCTGCTAGGGATCCCACAAAAGTGTTTTTAAGGCTTTTGTGTCATTGTGGTTTTTTTTATTTTATAATCGTCTTACTGTCTGACAATCACCATTTTTTGTCCTGGTGTTTTCTTTTTTCCTCAGGGTTTCAGACTGTACGTGTAGGGATAGTCGGGACTCCAGTCGGTACCGTCACTCTGTCCTGTGCTTATAGAACTAATCTGGCTTTTATGTCAACCAGGTACTGCCTCTAAGTACTGTCTGTGCTTAAACTGACTTTGTTCATACTTGTGAAGCATGACATGCTCAGCTTTTTGTGTCAGTCTTACAGCTCTAACCTGATGGGGAAAAAAACTGAATCACAGAAGAACAGCTATTTAGAATTTAGCTTTTTAGTTAACTCATTTTTGCTGCAGTTTTAACAGAACTCTAGTTCAGTTGTACATCTTAATACTAGACAGTCACTGTAGTTAGAGTGGATTGTATCAGTACACAACAAGAGCTGTGGCTTCTGAACCTGTGTGTTCAATGGGATTTAAAAACGTTCAGTAATTTCTGTAGTAAATCTACCTTTTATCAAATAATTCTTTGTACTGCCCCTAGGGGTCACCTGTGAGCACAGTTACCTAAGGCAGATTAATGAAAGTGCAGAGGAGGTTTAATAATGTCCTCCCTGTAGGCCATTGTTAGTGTGGAACAGGGTCATCTATTAAATTGGATTAGAGGATAAAGGAAATACAAGATGCTTAATTAGTGATGCATTTACAGGATGTACAGTTTAAACCATTAGCTCTCACTGAGAGATTAAAGAATTCATCAGGATTTTTAAGCAGGATTTTAAAAAGTGAAGTCATAAATTTAAAGAGATTTTCACAGATTTTTTTTTTCAAACTCTGTATCATACCTTTGGGACAAATCAAGTAATAAAAATATTGTGAATTTTTCAGTAGGTATTCATGCCTGCCTCTCTGTTTTTAGGAAATATGATATTAATTTTTGTCTTATTTCTTTTTCAAAGAGCCACTTTTTGTGCTGTCATAGAAAGCTATAGCCATAACTACAAAGAAGTAAACTGCTGAATTTATGTGGAAGGTGATGGGGAATTTAAAGGAAAAGCACAAACCATGGAGTATTTTAAATCTAGTTCAAGCATTTCGGTTTCTCTTTTTCCTGATTTTTGTTTGCAGGCAGTTTGAGAGGACTGCTCCTATAATGGGGATCATCATAGATCATTTTGTTGACCGCCCCTTCCCCAATATGGGACCTATGCACCCTTGCAACTACAGGTGAGAGCATTTTCATTTTCATGTCAATAGCCAACACGCGCACAGTTTGTTCTTCACAATTAAAATTGAGCTTGACTTTTGTTGCCAGCCTGAAAATCTGAATCTCTGAAATAAGGCTTTTTGCCCAGGCTGTTGTGATGCCTTGTGCTCTTGTTTCCCAGGACGACAGGTGAAGATGATGGGGTGATGTATCCCGGAGTTGAGGATTCCCAGGAGGTCTGCACAACATCCTTCTCCACCTCTCCCCCCTCCCAGGTAACCAGCCCCTGGGGGGCACGTCTTGAACACTTCACTTAAACATTTTTGAACCGTCTTACACTCATCTCATCAGTAGTTGCATTCAGGTGATGATGCAGGTGCCCAAACTTAATATAACTTTATAATTTAGAAAATAACTTTTAAGTGCAAAGACATAAAGGACAGCCTTATTGTGTTTTGGGCAGATGGGAAATGTGTTAGATTCCTCTAGTACTTATGTTCCTAATATACTTACACATCTATTAGTCCTGTGGTAAATTTAAGGAAGGATATTTGTGATGTAAACATAAAATATACGTGTTAATTATGATATATTAAATTTCTGTGTCACATTCTACTATATTTTCCAAAGATTTGAAATCTTTGCTCAGTTTCTTGTAAATACCTTTTTTTCTATTAAGTTTCACACAATTATGTGCCACAGTCACAGTGTGACTCTCCTAATGTAGTTTTTCAAAACTGGATTTGAATGTGTCCTAGTATGGATATGCCATTCATTAAACATGCCTTACAAAGTTACTTCTACATCGCCTTAAATCTGATGACCTGGTTTCATGTCACATTTTTAAAATCCTCCTGTGAACGTTCTGAAATTCATGAACAGTTAATGTTTTGATTACCAAGCACCAAATCACATGTCATTTTCTACATTTTCCTTTTTATAAGTTGTGCTTTCCTTTCTCTTTTTTCGTCTCTCTCTGTTTGCTGTCTCTGTGTGTCTCTATGTATAGTGTGTGTCCACCCTAAGTAAGACACACTCTCAGGCACTCAAACCCACAGTGATGGACACTCTGAAGGTCCCCATGCTGGGGTTGGCTTTCTCACACCAAGTGAGTTCAGTGTGTGGGCGGATTTATTACGTGTGGACAACACTTCCACTGTTAATATGACTCCTCTCGCTGCCTAGTAACAGATCTTCAAAAGAATACTTAACTATTAAGCTTAATAACACGAAGCTTAAATGAATTAAATTCTTAACACATCGATGGCTCATCTTTCAACATTGAAATTGCTAATGCCTTCAAATAACTCTACATTTTTCAACATTAGTCTGCCAGTAGGTTTTCAAAACTGTCAAAACAGTGTGTCGCCATCAATTTTCTATCTACCTTTTGACAGATACTTTCTATAAACCCAAAGAGGTTTTGTAGTGCAGATGTAAGAGAATATTGATAGACGGCGGGTCTTGTAGCTGTAGCAGGTAGGGTAGGTAGTTCAAATTCAATGAGAATGACTTCTGCTGCCTCTCACCTCTCCCGTTACCTCTGAAATGCTGAACGAATTTCCAAAATCATTTATCCGTCTCTGTTGCCTCTTTCCGATTATGTTTTTTAGCCTTTGTCTCCCCTGTCTCTCTGCTGTCTTTCTCAGCTGTACAGCTCTCGTCTTTCCTATCAGCCTCCCGCGCTCGGAACAGCTGATCTTTGCTATCCTGCTGTCTTTAACGCTGCCCATCCCCACCAGGTAATGAGCTCCAGAAATAAGTACTTGCCCATAAGGGTGCTTGCTGCCCCACATCCAGCTCTTTGTGTTATCGGTCCATGTGGCCGGCAGGTAAATGCAAGAGTCACGCGTAAGTCACAGGTGTTTAATAAGTCTAACACGGTCAGTTTAATATTAATAAATAATGTTTTTCTGTAAGGTAACACAGATTCACTGATGTATCTTAACTTCAGCTCTATTTTTAATCGCACACCGCACACGGAGTTGAAATCAAATTTGAAGTATCGTGGGTAGTTTCCTTTTTTCTTTATTAAACATCTCCTGTGTCTGTTGCATGAGACACTAATTTCAGTTTCAGGGATGGCTTTCCAAAGTCTCGGCAGTGGACAGCAGTAGTCACTGTAAGGCAGAGTGAATGCAGGCAGCAGCAGCAGTCTGATGCTCTGTGCTGTTCTGTCCCCAGATGGCGATACCAGGGAAGGAGGGAGGGGTGCCCCAGGCCCTGGTGCAGCCTTGTCACGGGGCACAGGCGGAGCATGGCAGAGCGTCCACCTGCCCCCCAGCAGACACTGCTCAGCAAGTCCCGGCCACCCCCTCCAGCAGGTAGGCCCTCCTCTACAGTCCACCAGAGAATCTAGCTGGCTTTGTTGTCCCGGCTGTGGCAGCTGTAAGGAAGGGAAGGCATGGTAAAATGTCCAAGCACAGGGTGATGCGCATGCCCTTTTCCTTTCTTTTCTCTCTCTGCTGTGAAGTGGGGAGGAGACGGATCCCTTATCCAGAAGCAGCGAGGCGAAGGGCACCTCCCCACCGGATTTTGTGGAGACCACCTTTACAAGGAAAGTGGGGGCCTTTGTGAACAAACCTGCCACCCAGGTGAGGGAGAAAAAGGGGGAAGAGCTCAGAATTGTTAGACCTGTTCAGTCCAGGCACCTGACTCCCTACAACCAACCAGTATGCATTTGTACTCTTTTTAGTTTCAGTATATTTATCCCTGTTTTATATGTCCCCAAATAAAAATTGCTATGATGGATAAACGTGGAAATCTTGACAGTTTTTTAGTGCGATAATTTAGCGGTTATTTTATTGTAGGACATGTTGCAGATTGGGGTGTTGCAGCTTTCTATATGGGATTAAAGAGCAATGGAGGTTTCTGTTTTCAGTGAATTTAAGACTACATATCCATACTAGAACACATTCAAATCCTGTTTTTAGAAATGAGTTTTTTTTTCTTTTATACCACTGACATGTGCTTTTGTTGGTGACTGAATAGGTGACTACAGCTACTTTGGATCTGCCTTTTGCTGCGTTTGCTCCAAGGACTTTTGACCCGGAAGAAAATGACCTTATGGTGGGTAATATTACGCCAGCGTCTTGACTCTTCTTGACCATGTATGAACCGCTTTCCTGTGGATTGCTTTTTTATTCGGGGGGGCCTCACAGCCCTCAAGGCCACGGGTGTGAGACTCAGTGTAGTTTCTTAGCACTGGTACACATCTTTCCGAGCCTTGCGGTCTCCTCGTGTCCCTCCATGCTGTTTTCTCAGCCTTTACTGGTCTACATCCTGTCTCCCAGGTGAACCCCCCTGAATCTCCGCTGCCAGCATCGCCTCTGCAGACCAGCCTGCACTCCCACGACTCCAGTGGGAGCAGCGGACCGACGCAGGATGACTTCGTCATGGTAGATTTTGTGAGTGCTGTCACTCAAGTCTCCCCTTAAGCCTGAAACCACATCTTCCCTTAGCCTACGTGAGCTTTGTGCCATGTCAAGTGTTGGCTTTAGACTAAACAACCCTTGGAGATGCATCACAAAATGTCCTTTTTTTTGTTTACCCTGTTAGTTAACACTTTCCCATCCCATGTGAGAACTGTTCAGAATGTATCACATGGTCCTTCCTAGTGAATGCCTTCAATGTAATAATTACTCTCTGACATACACATCCACAAAAAGGTTTCTTCTCCACCGGACCCTGCAGATACATTATCGGATGAGACGTAAAACCGAGATCCTGACTCTCTGTGTCATTAAAAATCCCAGGGCGTTTCTCGATAAGAGTAAGGATGTGACCCCGGCGTCCTGGCCAAATTTCCCCCTGGCCCTTACCAATCATGGCCTCCTAATAATCCCCATCTATGAATTGGCTTCATTACTCTACTCTCCTCCCCACTGAGAGCTGGTGTGTGGGGAGCGTTCTGGCGGACTATGGCTGCCGTCGCATCATCCAGGTGGGGCTGCACACTGGTGGGGGTGGAGGGGATCCCCATTACCTGTAAAGCGCTTTGAGTGGAGTGTCCAGAAAAGCAACATATAAGTGTAAGCAATTATTAATTATTATTATCTACATTTGTTGTCCTTGTTTCAGAAGCCTGCCTTTTCCAAGGATGATATCCTTCCTATGGACCTGGGTACGTTTTACAGAGAGTTCCAGAATCCCCCTCAGCTCAGCAGCCTCTCCATTGACATCAGTGCACAGTCTATGGCAGAAGACTTGGTAAGAAAATGCACTTGTTACACATTGCATCCAGGAAAACATGTTAGCAGAAATCCCACAAGGGACATGGTGTAGGTATCTTATGAATGTTATAGTGGCCATACCCTGAACAAATTAATAAAAATGAACAAACAGAAATGAAAAGGTTTTTTTAAAAAGAATTGCACTTAAGGAAAATCAAGCATGTTGGAAAATGATCATATTATTGACTCTGGTGAATTCCCAAGTTTCACGTTGTTCTGGCCACTCAGTGCATGATGGAATCCGGATCTGGAAGGGCTGCCAGTTTACTGTGAGTCAGCGACCTGTAATCTCTCTCTCTCTGCAGGACTCTCTGCCCGAGAAGCTGGCCATGTACGAGAAGAACATTGACGAATTTGATGCTTTTGTAGAGACCCTGCAGTAAGATCAGATAAGATCAGATCATATTAGACACTCCTGTCATGTTTTTTCACTTCATGCCAAAAAGATGATCTGCAGACCTACTGGAGCAGAAGCTTGTCCGAGTTTGATTACCGTGATTTTTGGGACAAATTGGGAGTGGGGGCAGCTTTTTTTCTTCTGTTTATTTTTTAAACATCCCCAGCGCAACCAGCAATGGTTGACAATTAATTACTGATCTTTGGTGTATAATGTCACCTATGTCTTATCAGAGTCAGCAAAAATTTTATCCATTATGTGTCCCTTTTGCTAGAGCTGTAAAGAGTTAACACACTTCTTTTAAAACTAGCAATTCAGCTGTGGGCATGGCTCAAATTCGTACTCTTTTTGAAAGGTAGAATTTGTAAGTATTTATTCCAAATGTAAATACTGAAGCTCTTCTCTAAACAGTTTTATTTAGCAGTTGAAGAGACCTTCATAGTTTTCATGGAGGTGGTCACAGTTTTCTTTTATTTTTCATATGCAACAATGAAACGTTACCTGAACATGTACTGGAGTGAAACAGCAGACAAACAAGGCAGTCCTTGAATGTAGAAAGCTGTGGAAGAGAGACTGGACATTGTCACTTTAAATGTTAATAATTTGTGAGAAAGAGGTATGTTTTGTGTGCGACTGAGGTTCATGTTCATTGCAAAGGGCTAAAGAGAAACGTTCTTGCTGTTTCTATAGTGGTTTGGTTTGCAAAAACAGGAAATCTGACCTTTTAAATTGAATCGCTCCCATCTCTAGCCCAAAGACACATGCCAGGGGTCTCAGTCACAGTAGATCACGAAGATGTAGAAAATGCACTACATTGCTTATGAATCATCATGTTAGAAAATAATATGATGTTACAGTTTTGTGCTTTATTGCAAGGACTGGTGTGCTTTTTAGCCTTAGAACATTTTGCACTTTTCCTCATTGAAGTCTCATTGAAATGCTGTTTCCTTTCCTACCCCAGGCCTTGTTAATATAGCATGATTATGTTGTATAATAAACCTGACAAACTATTTTAAAAATGCCTCACCCATCCTATACAGTATATAGAATGTATATATATATAATAGAAAGTCAGTCTGTTGGATAACTATCTTGATTTTTTCTGTGTTTTGAATTTTTGTAAAGGAAAGTCAACCTTAAGAAATATCTAATGCAGGTATGGGCTTGAAGAGGATGCCTAGAAGCAGAAGTGATTTTATTAGCCAAAAGTAGGTTTCCTAACAGTATTTGGCCACTACAACAAATCAAAAACTGAACATCAATCATATGTGCAGTGTTGTGCTTTGTTGTAAAAGTGCAAGCACCAATCAAAAAATCACTTGTTGGTACATTTGTCCAACAAACACATTCAAGCTTGTGAAGTCAAATATGTTCAAGAACAGGGCAGTCTGAATCCATGTCATCAGTAACGTGGTTACCAAGAGATATTCTGTGTGATCCATGCAAAAATGAAAATCTCCTTGCTTTGGTTTTGTTGTGTATTTACGTAAATCAGATTGCAGTTGCAGTCTTTTATTTATATTGTCACACAGTTAATTTCATTTTGTGCATGTAATAACTCTGGATTAATTCTATGGGAATATTTTTTAATTAGAAATAAAGTATTTTTTACTGCTTAAGAATTGCAGATGTTAATTGAAAACAGACCTTGCTACACTGCAAAATAGGATATGTGACTTTAAATTGGCAAACATTTTACCAACATGCTTCACAATGTGGACATTTGGTAGTGTTGTATTAAGATTGGCCTAACAGACAGTGAAGTATTACTAAAAAATAATGGTGAAGAGCAATTTTAAAATCTGGAGCATTTTCAGTGGCTAAACAAAGGTTGGCTTTCCTAGTTTATTTGTGAGAGTGTGTTTCTGTATCACTGTAAATGAAAAGCACCTTTCAGTACAAGAAAAATAAGGACAGAGACTTTAAAGGTACTTCATAAATCAGTCGTCTATGGACACATAGAATGCTGTCCGCTACTTATTTGATAACGCATGTGGTAGAGTTCCATTATACATTTGCTATAATTAGTGACAATGAAGACCACTAATGCCAGCTAGCACAGCAAGGACTTGAGGTGGCTTATTAAGTGGCTCTTGGATCTAATGAAACTTCAGTTTATAATGTTCATTAACCAGTGTCCATCTGGTAGTCTATTCTAAGTGGATGTCTTTTTGTACTATAGCACCGTGTGAAAGTGAGGCACATTCAAGTCCCTAAAGCTATGAAATCACTTAAATGTTCATAAAAACCCTAGAATTGCAAAAGCTTATTGGGAAATATCGGGTATAAAGCAGTGTGTGAAAGTCATCTGGGAGGCTATTAAACAAAGCCTGCCTCTTCCACTCAACATGACGATCTGCATTCTGTGAACGGGTTTCTAGAGGAGTGTTTTTCTTTGTACACTTTGGTTAAAAGTGAGCCATGGTTTTGAATGTTTTTGATTTGTGTCAAAAAGCCAGCATTTGAGTCTGTAAAGCACTAGTAAGTGTGGCTGCCATCTAACATAATTATTTCTCAATTGTTCATTATTCCACCCATCACAATCCCTTTGTGTAAATAAAAAAAACATTTTAAGTGAAGGATTACTAATGTGAAATGTTTATTTATCCAGTTATGTTCTGAAACGTGATATAGTTTGTATGCAATTGATCATAGAAACAAGTTTTTGCTTAATGTATAGGAAGATTTTGTATAGGAAGGGCTTATTTACAGGCCTTGCCAAGTGTGATACTAATGATGCTCTGCAGTTGAACCCTAGCCTCTCTGTCTGAAAGGGAAATTAAATTTTGTCAACATGAACTGTGTTGTATAAGTGAGTGTCCTTCTCAGTTACTGCAAGAGAGCTGGGAGATTAGCTAACACACACAGAAACGGTTTAAGTGGGTTCCCTTCTGGATTGGACACTAGGCCTTTGCAGTTACCCTCTTTTGAGTCATCTCCATTGAGCCACAATTTAATGCTGGCTGTATATTGTTCATTTTTATTAGAATTGCCAGTTAGTTTGTGTCATTTGCCTTGCCTGATCTGGAATCGGAAATTATTCTTGCGGTCCGGGCCAGTGGACAAACTCTGAGCGAACGCCGAGCGTGAGGAGTTGTAGGCGGACTCCTGCAGTCCAACCTTCCTTCGTGTCTCTCGTCTTTTACCTTGTCGCTGGCCGCACAGCCTCGCGCCGGAGCCTCCTTGCTCTGCTTGGAGGTGTGGTGCTACCCTCACCTGCAGCTCCACAAGCCTGCAAGCTGCCCGGAGGCTGTAGGACTTGCCAGCGATGCCGGGAGCCCAGAGCCGCCTGTCCCAGCTAATCCCACCCCGCCCTTAGCAGATTTCTCCCAACCGTGGGAAGGCAGTCATGTGATCCAACCCCGGACCAGCGACTCCACAATCGGAAAGCTCAACCTGCGCTTGGCACAGGGCCTGTAGCAGCTGAGTCACTCAAGAGTCCGGCTGGCTGTGAATATGGTAAAAATGGCAGGTTTCTAGCTATGTTTTCTATTTAGAAATAGACCGAATGGTCTCTACCATCAAAAAAGATGCACAGGAATAAAATCGTGTGCATTTCTTGACCATTTTTATGAAGGTTTACTGTGGTAGATTAGAGAAACATAGCATGCAGTTTTCCTGTGTTTTTTCCCCTTGTTTACTGTATATTTTACCTCTTTTGTCATTGCTGTTTATTAGTAAGAAAGATGGGGAGTTTTAAAAATGGGATGGGTGTGGAATGTATTTTTCCACAAACTAGTTGTATTTTTACAGTATATCTGAGAAGCAGTCCAAAACAGGAAACAAATAATCCTTATAATTACATAGCGCTTTTCTGGACAGTTCGCTCAAAGTGCTTTACAAGTAATGGGGAATCCCACCCCCACCAGAGTGAAGCCCCACCTGCATGGTGCGAGAGGTGATGGGTCGGTGGGTCACTATCAAATGATACTATTAATATGTGTGCTCTCAATTGTCCTAATAAGATCTGAAGTTGGATTTTCCATTTTCCCTAACACTATACCAAGATATTTAAACACATGCAAAAATGGGCAAATTTGTAATGTTTCGGTGCACTCCTTTCTGAATAACATGCATCTTCTTTGCATGTAAGCAGGTGTTGAGGCTGTTCAGACCATACAGGGCTCAAACACGGCAAGAGGTCGGCCCGTCCTGAAATTTAAAGCAGGCTCGGGGTCTGTCGGGCCGAAGTGGTGACGATTTATCAACGTCCAAGATCATGCTTCGGTTCTGAACAAAATGCACTGTAAAAGCGAGACCCTAAGATACGTGTTGTAAGGTGGAAAAAATACTTTTTTTTCCCCCTTGACCGCTGACCACCCACGCCCCCGTGAGGCAGGTAACTCGGATCTCCTGGTTTGGCGTCCGTTTAAGCGAGCTCCGCAATCCCTTTACCTTGAACCTTGCAGTTTGCCGGGTTTGTCTGAGATGCAATTAGTTTTGTACGGTTTCTTTATGCGGTTTGCTCTTTTTGTGTCTACACGAAAGCGGAGCAGCCTGCTTGACGTCGGAAGAGCAACCTAGAAAAGCACGTCGCAACTTTGTACTTGACGAAAACGGCGGAGACGAAAGGTAATGCGAACTACAACCCAGACCGCCAGTTACTCCTCTAGTTCTATTGGCTCCTTTGGATTTGATTAAACGGAAGAAATTAAAGTATAATGTTACAAAAGTGCGTCACATTTTCGGCTCTTCGAGAAAGCTGCTACTCTTCGGTTATATAGTCCCTATTTCTTCGGTTTATCCTTTGCACAGATACCAAAAAGAAGTTAAATATTTTATAAGAAGTTGAGGGTAACTTTGTTTCCAGCTTCTCTTGCTCTTTCGTGGTGTAAATTAAAATTAAATGGTGATATGGGATTATTATTTAACTTCAGTTCTTGTAATTAAAAGATGACGGAACGTATAGGGGGACAGCCCATAGAATATATAGGTTTAACAAATGCTTGTCAAGACTTGCCTTAGGGAATGCGTTTCCCGTGATGCAGAATTGTAAAATCGGGCAGAAAGGCGAGGCTGTAACAAAGCAGCGTTTGCCAAGATTCAAAAAGGCTCCTGCAGAGCGAGGAATAGGGACTCTGTCAGGTCGTGTACCTGCTCTCCTGACAGCCATGTGCAATTCCGGTACATCACGCCCGTCACGTCGCCTCTCGCCTGTGCCGAGCCTCACTCCTGAGAGAATTTGTTGCGCAGAGGAGGCTTGAGAAAAATGACCACCGTGCACTTAAAATTAGGTTGTGCAGTTGTCATACAACACAGCATAGAATGCAGCGCACGGGTAGTAAATGCGTGTCCTACTGCTTGTCTATAACGATTGCCTACAAAAAAAAACTTTAGAAGCACCGGGCATAACCGTGTGTGAATGTCTGGAGCTGCGTATGAATAAATCTTTTGTCTGATTTTACGTTACAAATAACCCCGAACAGTTCTAAGATACGGTAAAAAAAAAAAAGGTTTTGTAGTCGGTAACGAGATGTGGACTGAATCAAGTGTCAGTGAAGGGTATAGGGATGATTTAACAGCAGCTGTGCTTTGGACGCTCTTCCGCAGTAGTAAGACGTAACCATGGCTCTAGGCCGGTGTTGTTACGGCACCTAACAGTGGGGCTGAAGTATCCCAAATTTGAAGGGCTTCTTTTTCTATGAAAGCGCAGGGCCGGGGATGCACGGCCACGTGGGAGAGCACTGGGAGTGGGACATGGATGCCAAGTCTCCTGCAGCCCGCCTGTCGCCATGCCGACGAGCTGTCTACTTTCACACCGACCCAGTCCTGGAGAGCGAAGGCACAGCCGGGGTCAGGGGCACCAAAGGTCAGGCTGTTTGTCCAGTCCCAGCATTTTGCTGGCAGAGCGTTCAATTGGAAGGGAAATATCTCCGAACTGCTACACTTAACTGCTTATTGTTTCCTTCACCTGTTTTTCCCACCCATCCATCAGTGCATTTTCGGAACTGCTCTATTTGCAGGGAGCCAGAGTCTGTCCCAGCAGGCAAAAGGCTTGCAAGGTGGGGTACACCCTGAGAGGGACACTGTGCATTCTCACATCAGGGACAGTTTTTCTAGAAGCCAATTACCCTACCAGAAAGCCTGCACTGTGGGAAGAACCTGGTACCCAGAAGACACCCACACGAAGAAGGGGGGAACATGCAAACTCCACACAGATAGCACCGCAGGAACTGAGCCCAGAGCCTTGGAACTGCGAGGCAGCAATGCTAAAAACTCATGCACCATACCTCCAATCCTTTTTTTCTGCTTTAAATATATCTTACACAATCCTTCCAATCCGTATTTCCCATTTAGGGAATATTCCATTTTCAATTGAATTTCTCTCAGTTCTCAGTTCAGTTTATTTGTCACATGCAAAGTGCAATAAAATGCTTATTTGCATGTATGCTCCAATACAAAGACAATAAGGAAACACAGAACAGCCCCAACAACAAGTTAAATAAAATACAAGTTTAAAAAAAACACTTCTAAACATTTGTAAATCCTGCAGTTTTTTAGGGCAGCATGTTGGTGTGGCCGGTGGCACTGCTGTCTTGCAGCACTTGGGTTCAGGGATTCAAGTCTGGCATGGGCATCCTTATATGTGGAGTGTGCATGTTATCCTCACACCCACAAGGGTTTTCTCCAGGTGCACAAGTCTCCTTCCACTTAAACAGACATCCTGGCTATTTTCTCTAAGGGCTCTAAGTTGTCCCTGTGTGCATGAGTGGGAGAGGCCTACAGGGGTATGCTCCTGTCTGCCATCCTGTTTCCAGGACAGGCTCTGGGTTTCTGTGACCCTTAACTGGAATAAGTGGCTTTTCTCATGATGGATGGATGTCATTTTGAATTATTGACAGGAAAATGATCAACTACAGTCCACATTCCTTTCTTTTAAAAATAATATTTTCGCATTATATCAGTACAGCAAAATCCCACATCCATGCACGAGCACCCAGTTTTGCAGAAGAGGTTTGTGAAGTGGCTGTGAGCTCCTTGTGTCTGGTGTCTGTGCTCTGCAGGGTTCAGTCACGGAGAGCACTACTGGGAGATTGAGTTCCTGGAGCCTCCGTGTGGCTCGTCTGTGATGGTAGGGCTAGGAACCAAGAAGGCGCTGCTTCACACCGGGAACTACCAGTTCATCGACCTGCTGGGTGAGAATGGCAATCATTCTCCACAAATCCTGTGCTTGTTTGTCTCTGATAAACAGTCCTTCAGCTGTGCAGATAGTAAGTTTAGAAAACCACATCTTCAAATGCACATAGTGACGGGGTGGTGGTGGGTCTGCTAAGTGTTGCAGTATGATCTAAGGTTATTTTGTCAGTTATTCCTCATAAGATAACAGGCTTTGATATATTTGTCCTGAAATCCTGAAGTTCATACAAACAGGTGTTTGAGATTTTTAGACCTCTGGGGATTAAGAACATGCCTGTGGTCTCCTGTGGAATTTAGGCTAAAAGTCAGTGAGACTGAGGTGGTGTCGGTTTACATCTTAGAAAAGATTTAAAAAGCTGAGGAAAAGGAAAAAAACGGAGATGCATTATGTGTGGCGATAAATTTTGATGTTTACGTAAGAAAGGAAAAAATATATATTTCTTGACCCTGATGACAAAATGCCGTTATTTGTTCATAAAAATTCTTGAAGAAATACTTGTGGAGCAAAGTGCTGCAGTGCCCCCACAACGCAATGTCCGTGAAAGGTGGGAAGGTCTCGCACTGTCCTGTCGAGTTTCATTTCGGTGCCTCTAATTGTCCCTGTCTCTTGATGTGACGTGAAGTTAGGCTTATGTTCCTCTCTTTGTCGATTGGTGTCGTCTGCAAGAAGTCCCCATTGCCTGTGTGTCCGGGCACCAGGCCTGCAGCTGTCAGGTTTTCAGCACGCTGCTCTGCTGCTGTGTTTCTGAAGGGATGGACTGCGAGAGCTGGGGGCTGTCGTATAAGGGCTCCGTCTGGCACGGAGGGGAGAGCAGGACCTACACCCAGCCCTTCTACGACAAGTCGACCGTCATCGGCGTTCTCCTGAACCTGCACACGGGCACCCTGGTGTTCTACAGAAATGGATCCAGCCTTGGGCTCGCCTTCTCCGGTCTGGACCAGGTGAGACGGCGGGACAGGCCGAGTGAGGTCTTCAATCTGGCCAGCGATAGTGTTGGAGTCTAGGCTTTTTTTAATGTTTGCCATGAGGGTGTTTTGGGAAATGAATTTTCCACTTCGAGTGTCCGGCTGTTTGTTTTTGTCTGGTGTTGAAGAACCATGATGCATGATTAAACGTCACCGTGCTGCTCTTGAGAATTAGTTAGTTCGGGGCTTTAGTAATCTAATACTAAAGACAAGCTTGAGAAGAAGTGGAAAGTCCTTTGAGATGAGCTCACGCCCCTCTCCCTCTCTGCTTGCACAGGTGGGAGCCCCTCTCTACCCCTTGGTCAGCTCCACGGCTCCCGAGACGGAGCTGTTCCTGGGTCTGCGCACCTGCCAGTTCACCTCCCTGCAGGAGCGCTGCCTGCAGGCCATCGCGCAGACGCTGGGACAGAGGGCCGCCGCTGACAGCCTGCCCCTGCCCGCAGCCTTGCAGGAACAGCTCGGGGTGCGCTGGGGACACCCCTCTCGCACTCTGCTGGGAGTGCGGACGTGACCAGCTCAGGGTCTGCTCTCTGGGAGTGCGGACGTGACCAGCTCAGGGTCTGCTCGCTCGGAGTGAGGACGTGACCAGCTCAGGGTGTGCTGCGGACACCCCTCGCTCACTCTGCGATATGAACAGGTGACACTCTCGGAACCACAGTTGTTTGCTCTTGATGAAGTCGGAGAAGAGCCAGTCTGGAACCCAGAAGGCTGAGTTTTGATAGGTTTTTAATAATGCTTGTGCTGGCACTGTTAGCTGACTGGACCAGCTGTCCTGGAGTGTAACATGAAGCTTTGCTCTAAAAGCACTGGACTAAAAAAGCACTTGATGCAAGTGGCTGGGGACAAATAGCAGCATGGTTTTTGACTCCTAAAAGTTGCTGGCATCACTTCGTACAAATCCCCACAGCAGGAAAAAGAAAATAAAAGCATATACTGAATTACATCCAGTACCGGTTTCCAGATAAGCCAACTGAAGAAGGCCAGTTTTTACCCGGACAGCTGATCTGAAATCTCAGTGAAACAAGAGGAAAAGGAGTAGGTCAGGTGCTGGAGAAGGTCTTCTGACATGAGCACAGATCCGAAAGCACTAAGAGCTGCTGGACTGTATCTGAGCCTGATGGCAGGATGCTGGCCATAGACACTCTCTGGTCATTCATTATCTGTCGTGTGGGTAATTTCTAGGTGCTCAGCTTTCCCCCACCTTCCCAAGAGATGCTGGCTGGATTAATTGGTGTCCATAAATTGTCCCTGTGTGTATTTGTCCTGGTGCGCCCACACAAGGGCATAGTCTCATCTCATGCACTACAATTCAGAGCTGCTCCAGGTTGCTGTGTCCCTGTCCAGGATTACACGGCTTTCTGGCAACAGGCAGATGAAGGCTTTGAACCACAGCAGTAGCTGCTTCTCCAGACTTCGCAATCCGAGCATTTCTGATCTGCACGATGAGTGGAGGAACTTTGGAGGCCAAAACATGTCTGTTACAGGGCAACAGAAGGGAAACCGAATTTTCCTGAAAATGAAGACGGTTACAAAATGCCCGTCGCTGTGCACGTGAGTTTATGGATTTGGGATTTTAGATTTTTATCACCACTTTTGCCAGCGCTGTGCATTCATGCCAGAAAAGTTTTTAAAAATAGAATTTTATGTGAAGAGTTGGCAGTAGCTTTAAATCCTGTAATAAGTGCCAGTAAAATGGGCTGTGCAATATTTGCTTTATTAATATCCTTTTACATTGCATGTAGTTCCTTTTTTAAAATACGAGTAGGTTCAACAGAAAGTCGGGGACAACTGTTAGCCTGAGAGTAGTCCCCCTGACATCTGGCCTAAAACTCAGATGGAAATATTTTTCACAGATTCAGGTGGATTTAAAAGACAAAACTTGTGTAACCTTGTCCTGCCTTTTTACTCTTCAGCATTGCTACCTGAAGGGTTTCTTGTATTTTCAGCTGAAAACGGTAATGAAAATGAACAGTAGCATGAAAATCCCACGGGCCTTCTTAATGATTAAAATTTGAGTTAAGCCTAACATATCCAGACATTAGGCCTGCAAGGCAGTAATCATGTTGTTGAAAGTTTTAATCTTACATTTTTAAAATAAAAAATGCTAAAGATTAATTTAAATGTTCATAATTATTTAGAATAATATTAGTAATATTTAACTCATCCAAAATATACAAATTTCTGTTACTAATGTTCAGCTGTTGGGAGTGCTGAATTCATGCCAGAGAAGCCTTAGTTTTGTTTTTAGGTTTGAGGAGAGCTGTCATGTTTCTCTCCTATGTTGTAATCACGTAATTAGTCAGTTCTTTAAAGAAATGAATGTATAACTACCAAACATTTCAAGCTGAAACAATATACACTGTTTTCACTACTAAAGATAGATTTTTTTTTATTATAAGCAAACTCAAATTATCGTAAAAGGCAGTTTGAATGATTCTAAACCAAGGCGTTTTTCTGGGAGATTGTACTATACACATTCCAAAATGAAATATATATATATATTAACACATGGCTTTTCTGCCATGTGTAAACATCAGAAAAACAAAAAACATTACTTCCACTGTATACAGTCTTCTTATAGTTTTATTCAACTGCTTTATAATTCACAATAGGTAATAAAAAAAGAACGGTTTTGAAAAATAATTGTTTGCCATAAAAGACAGTACTTGCAAGTAGAGAAGAGTAAGAATTTGGCTTCTGTTAAAGCAGAAAAATGTACAACATTTTACTTCCCCACCATGGCAACAAAAACTCTTTTTACAAAGCAAATGAGATGGGAACAACAGTAACCATCATGCGAAAACAAAACTGTAACATCCTAGCTAAAATACCTGAACAGTACTTATCAGGTACTTCCGTCTTTCCCTATCATAATAAGGCACACGGCCACCTACCAGCATTGCAGCACAAAGCATGCCACAACGATTCAGTCTTAAACAAGGTGTGACCAGACTAGTGTGCGTTCTCTAAAACTCCTGAGATTGCTTAAGTACATATTTTTCAAAACCGTAAAAAATGCATACTACACTACTGGACAATATGATCATCTTTACACTGCTTTTTACATCACTATCTTTGTGACCCAAGGTAAAACTTGTTTTTTTAAACAGCAAACACAAAACCAGACAGTTAAGACTGATCTGTTTTAAGCTTGAATGTTTTAGCTTGAAGTCCTTAAAAAGAAAGAACAATTTTAAGAAGCGATTTGGAACGTTTACTACAAGCATCTGAAATACCAGCAAGACAGCAAATGATCCACAGATTTACCTGGCAGGTCTGTGTTATTTCAAAGTGGCCACATATGTAACACTTTTCAAAACCATTTCAATATTTGGTTTCCTTTACTGACACAGACTAAAAAATGGCACATCATCATTGTCCTGTATCAGGTACTACCTGCAGTGCTTAACAGCAGGACCGGATCCGAAAATGTCTCTGATAAACAGAGAAAGACAGCAAGGAAATAAGATCAATTGACCAGTAACAGAACAAATGTTGAATACTTTATGCTTAAAGACATAAAAAACC